GGGTAATTTTCTCGCAACTACACTGTTACATGCCTTTATGTTATATTAGTATTGAGTTATAATTTCAGCTTCTTACTGTTAATATTAATAAAATTATCGTGAGTTGAATCGATTTGTCACTGTGTGTGTAACAAGTAGCATCATCGTAAATTATAATCTACATAAAATGATTACTGTAAGGCGTAAAAGACCTAGTGGTTATTTCGTGACACATACGTGTAGAGGAATAGTAAAGCATGTTGTATAGCGAAATACAAGTGCTTTGCTTTCGTATTCTTTATTTAGTTTGTTGAAACTCTTGCATTTTTGCCATATATCCCACCCATTATCTACACCGAAAAAATCGTATTCTGTATTAGAGAATAATTCCGTTTAAAGCTATCCTCTAAATCGAATATTCTAAAATATTTAGAATATTCCTCTATAGATATATCTTATTTAGAATAATATCTGAAAAATAAAGAAAATATTCTAAAATATGTCGACGCTTGGTTAACAAATAGTACTCGCTTTCGTGTTTACGCATGTGCAAGCCCGCGCGTATTATGTTTATATACCGTATCGTGTCCTGAGATATCCGCGAGTTCTGTGTCCGAGTAGACTACACATAGTGTTGTTTATCGTGAAAAGAAATGAAAAAAGTGGAGAAGTGGTTGCTTGAGCACAATTTACTAGAATCAGTCAATCGTTTTGAGAGTAAGTACGAATCGGAATTTTTGTGTATTAATCGGAATGTGAGTGTACGTATCATATACATATTACGTTTGCATGTTATCAGTTAAATTGGCTACGTTCAGCGAAAAAAGCAGTTCAGTGAGCACTCGATATCCGGTGTTAGTCCACAGAATGATGTATAAATAGATTCATATATATATATATATATATATATACATACATGTGCGTGCGTGCGTGTGTGTTTATGTAAAGATTAAAATATATTCTACTCCACACAATAGAGGAATATTCTAAACTAAATAATTAGAATATCTTATTATATTATAGAGGAAAATTCTCTAATTTTTATAATATATACTTGGCGCGTATTTTAATAGAAAATATTCTGTAGTTTTTTTTTAGTCGGATATACTGAAATCTAGAATAAAATTTTTTCGGTGATATATATATATATAGTAAAAATGCAGGATTTCAAAAAGTTTATTTTTTAATACGAAAACTAAATATTTCGGATTTCTAATATTTTTTTTCATAGTAGTGTAGACAGTACAAAGTTTTTACTGATATAGTTCGTTTTTATTTTAAACATAGTAAATAATACTTAATATAAATTAAGTTTTTGATAGGTGCGGTGTATATACCGGAGTCACCCTATAGTTGTACAGAACACACACATATTCCTTCAATAAAATTAATATATTTATAATATATTAACTCAACACACATTTTATTCATTTATTCTTGGAATTTATGTTTTAAAACTGCATTATTTTTATGTTATTTTGTTTACTTGCCTATAAATTGTGTTATTTTAACACTGAAAAATGTTAAATTTTATTTTAACATAAAATATTCAAATAATACAATCATATTATATTAAATTAAAACTCAGATATGTTAAAAATTCAACACAAAATTTTAACGAGGAGATTTGAGTGGACCGTTTTTAATATAAATACAAAATATTTTTTACTGTGTAGGTATATTATATATTTTATCTTTTAATATAATTATTTTAAAAGACTAGTTTTAAAACGCGGAGACAAAAAGATTAGGAAAACCTCTAACAGTATTTAGAGTTTAATAGGAATTTAGTTAAGTCTAATTTTTACTGCATCTCGTTTTATTTTTCCATAACGTGTTAGATAGGTCGAGTTTGAATCCGGAAATATGAAATGGCACCATGTCAACTGGGTGGTTTGCAGGATGTTTAAAACCGCTGACAGAGAGAGATAATTTTTATCCGACAATAAATGTTGAAATACCGCAATATTTTTGCTGTACTTTTTTCTGTTCAAACGGCGATATCGTAATATAATATATATGTTTACGAATAATATTATTTTTATTCTCCTGCACATTTCACGTGAAACGTCTAGTTGTTGAAACAATGACGAATAAGAAATTTTTTGCATTTCTCGTTTGTTATTTATCAAGATAAATTGAGTAATATACTGATATCTTTGACGATCAGGAAGTTTTTTTTGAAAAAACTATACAACAAAAACACACTCCAATTTAACGAAAAAAAATCTTTCTGAATAAAATATTCAAAGAGATTATTTTAACTTTTCGTTTTAAGTTTTGAGTTTAAGAGATCAAGAGTTTAAAAGATTCATAAAAATGTTACATCACACTTTACATTGCATTTTTGAGAAGTTTCTGAAAATTGTAGCAGATAAAACCCCAACGAGAAATGACTATCGATTAGATGTCGAAATTAAGACTGTTGACCTATTTCGAAGATTCGAATTTTTTCGAAGCTCCAAAAAATACGTGTGAATAACGAATTCATTTAGGAAATGCTACAAATATTGTAAATGAAAAGAATTAATTAATATATGCATATATTAAAAAAAAATGTAATGTTCTTAAACGAGGAAGTTTAGAAGTATTTTTTTATATTAATTTATATAAATAATGAAGAATAATGCTCAATAAAACAATCCAATTAAGAAAATTAAAAAAGTAAAAATAAATTTCTCACAAATAAATGAATAAAAAATAGTAAATTAATATAAACGTTTTGGCTTTACTGATTGTAAGTCTTTCTTAGCATAGAACAATAATTTTAAGAACAAAAAATCGAGACAAAATCCTGATGACATTGATGAAAATGATTAATCTTACGTATTTTTTTATTTAACGACGTAATTACGACTTAAAAACATTCGAAGTTTGAAGTATCAAAGATTTTAAATGTTGAAGCTTCGAATCTTCAAGTTCAAAGCCTTCGAAGCAAATCATCAGCCCCAGTCGGAATTATCATATCGATGTCGATTCGATATTAATTCGATGAGTTATTTCTGACTAGGAACATTTCTGAAGCTTTCGAGCGTAAAGAAATATAACAATAATAATTATTATCTTTCCTTATTTACATAATAATTATTATTGTTTCTTTACGCTCGAAAGCTTTAGATTATAATTAATTATAATTTTTCTTTCCTCTTTATATTAAACCGCATTATCTATAACAACAACAAAAATAACATGACATTTACCTCTTGAATTCTAGATGGATTCGCCGTCAAGATTTGCGTTGGCGACGAAGACAGCGGAGGTGCACCGGCACGCTGCCGGTGAAACCACGGAGCTGGGCGAGGTGAAGGTGACCGCGCCGAGCAGCAACGTCGCGACGTCGATGCCGTCGACGGCGCACCCCAGTGGCAGCGACGCGATGCCCTGCAAGAACGGCGGCTGCAAGGTCTGGAGGAGCAGCCGAATCGGAGGCAGCGAGCCGCATGCCGAGAGTCCATGGCACTCGCTCAAAACTGTCTTCCTGGTCTCCGTGATCGTGGCTTTCCTCCTCTGGATCATTATCTACACCCTGCTGGACCAGTATCGGATCTTGTGATCGGGATCGTCCTCGCTTTACAAATCCTGCTGCGTCCTCACGATTGCAAATCGACGATGAATTCTGCGGCCCCGTGATTTATGGGTGATATCAGAGCTTGGTGGCGATCGCGCTGGTGTTGAGATCGTGATTTGTGATCGGATTCACGTGACTTTGTGTTCTCCATTATAATCGCTAATTTGCGGGTTCTGATGTGACTTCCCAAATAAACCACATAGTAAGAACGATTTTACTGAAGTATCTAAATATTTAATTACTCTTTAAAATTTTTTGAGCCAAAACTCACTTTTAAAGAATGAAATTTGAAACACTTTCCAGACTGGTTTAATTTTCACTCTTTGGAATGAGATTCCACTCTAAAGAATTTGAAGAGGGGACACTTCAGTAAAACTGTAACTAACAGTAATGAATGATATAATTTCACATTCAACAATAAAATGTAATATAACACGTGTTACACAGTAGTTACATTATTGAATGTGAAATTGTAACGTTGATGTTACTGACGTTTACTGGGTTGTGATTTTGTGATCGCAATTTATAATTCGACGTTGAATTCTGCGACTTCTTCGTGATTTTGTGATAATCCACGATTAGTATCGGGACTGGCAATCCATGCGGCGTATTTCGCAGTTCTACGTGATTTACTACTGTTGGGACCAACTGGAGTATGTATTTTCCACCATTCTTATTCTGCATCTCTAATTTTACAACGTTTGTATTACAAATCATGTTTGCGTTGTGACGATCGCTCATCAAAACGAAATGTGAACAAATCTTTGGAGAAATTCAGAAGGAACGACTGAACGCTCAGGGAGAAGACCTCCCGGCAGCTAAAGGCTTCCACAAATCGGATTGTAATATTGTATATTTCGTACTGTTTTATAAATATTTGGCTTCTGTAAATATTCGAATAAAATACGGCGTTACACAGTACATTATTAGATTATTCGATCCCTTTATTATCATACTCGAGCAGATTGCGCGCTGAGTCTGGTTGTTAAAAAATTAAAAAGTACGGCAAATCTTTTTACACAGAGTTGTAAATAATACTGAGAGAGACGCGATTCTTAAGAAAGATCTTTAAAAATTGCGCGGACCTTAGTAAATCTACAAATCGTTATAGATCAAAAAATTCGTTCGCCTTCTCTTTTTATGACACTTACGCTAATCAGACAAATAAATGAACGAACGTTTTGATCGAAGCAGCTTAACGGCTCCACATTTTTTGGCCGGGATTGTAATAGGCAAGGATCTCAAAACGACACGTAATGTAGAGGAGAAGAGGGTAAATTAAATCATTAGAAGATATCATGGGCCACGAGAGATTATATAGACGCTTCGCGTTTCATGGTTACAGAATTCTTCGTTATTTTTCTCTTCTCTTGCTCTCGAATCAAACAAGTCCCCTTCTTCTCTACACAGTATCGCGATGAAATTGTCGTTGGTAAAAAATATGACTGCGCACGCATGATCGAGCATGTATCTCGCGAGACAACCACACAGCAACGGGCTCAGCGAATCGCGATCCGCGGTAGACAACAACATTATCGTTGTTGGGAACAAGCGATCTGAGACAACTAGAAGCCAGCAGTCGCAGTCGCAGCAACAGTCGCAACCGCAACTGCAGTTACAATTGCAGCCACAGTCACAGTCGCAATCGCAACCACAGCAACAGTCGCAATCACAACTACAGTTACAATTGCAGCCACAACCGCAAGTGCAGCCGCTACCGCCGTTGACGACAACAACAACGTCGTCGACGAACACACGAGATCGAGAGACGGGTCCGATGCGACAGCATCCAAGCGCGTGGAGATTGCGGGACGACGACGACGATGACGATGACGACGACGACGACGAGAACGAGGAGGAGCAAGTGGACGACAACGTGATCTATTCCTGTCCACTTTCGTACGCGGTTTTAATCGGATGAACGAGTAACGATTGTGCGTATTTTTCAGTTCTCCGCGACGACGGAAAGACGCACGCCACCGAGGGTGATCTTGGTCGGCTGGGACAGCTTCCGCACGAAGCTGCTGCTATTCCTGATCGTGTGCCTTCTCATCTGGGCCTGCGTCTTCTTTCCTCTACTCGGCACGTGAACACCGGCTCTTGCTCCTCCTCTTTCTCCTCGTTCTCCACTTCCTTCTCCTTCATCCTCCCTCAGTCGCGAAATGGTGACATCGAGTACACTTAAATCGATACGGCAATTCGATGCGGCGACATTCAACACGATCACACATACATACTTTCACGCGTTACATTTGCATATATATTATATATATGTATATATATTACGTCCAATATATATAATAACTTTACATTTTTGGTATTCAATATTTACACGTTATATACGTCTAATCATAAATATATTAATTTACGTAGTGGCCTTCGCGGAGAAGTTTAAACAGCTCATTTCCGAACCATCTTAAAATTCATTTACTTCTCCTTTCCTTTTCTTTAAATAGAAATCGTACGCTCATTGCAAAATCTCCATGGCTTTATATATATGTCTCCATAATACACAATTTCAGTATTTTCTTTTTTAAATAATTATCGACGAACGTGTGGGTTTAAGACGGCTTGAAAATGGCTCTTCGGTTGCGAGAGACAGAGGAGACTTGAACGAATCCGTCTCTGTCGCTCCCGTTCAAGTTCCCGCAATATTTTTTCCGCAATATTACGCGATTACTATGTCAATTACTATCCTCCTTGGGATCCGGTCGTACGATCGGTTTAATCAACCGCAATCCCTTGGAAAGTCCGCCACGCGCGGTCTTCGTCGCGCGATTACGCTACATTCTTATTTATGGAACACTTTCGTTGTGTTAACTTATGTCGTTATATGGATGCCATTGTTCTCTTTTTTTTTCTTACGTACTTACGGTGGTAAATATATCTCGTTTCGTAGTCGTTTGCTCTAGATGAGAATAATATCGAGTAGCGACTTAATACGGTATAGTTTCTATATACAGGACGAGTCAACAGAAGAACAGGAATCTATAAAAATCTCCCGTGAATTCGAAGACAAAAAAAATATGTGCAACGCAATTTAGGTGATTCTATCGTGATCAACTCGAATGTTTGCAGGTAAGAGAACTATAATTGATTAGAATATAAAAATCTAAATATAATTAATCCATGTTTTGTTTCCTTCAACAATTAATAATAGTGTACGGCACAATTTTTTTTTTTTAAATACGAAGGAAAAAAAATCATTTCATTTCCGTTGACTCAGCCTGTCTGATATTATCAACGATTTTCGTAACGTACACGCGATAATACGACCATAACATTTTCTATAATCGATGTCTTACAAGTATAACTTACATGTACTACTAATTTGGCATGTAATAACCGTGACTGTGCGTTTATATACGAGCAACCGATACGTCGCGACGAAGGAATTCGCGTAAATATTGCAAGATCTACCGAATCCTCCTTTTCCCGCGTGACGTGTCCAAATAAACTTCATTTATGAATTCTTTTTACGAAAAAACATTTCGTTAAATCCTATCTCACACAACTTATGACTTTTAGTTATCAGAGTTATTTCAAAGTCTTAATTTTTTTAAAGATCCGCTTGAATTTCTTCTTCTTATTCCCCTGGATGGACTTCCAACCCACATAGAAGGGTCGCAATATCATGAATAAAAAACAGAATAGCGTTTAGCCTATCCGTTTGAATTAAAAATTTTAAAAGAAGAGAATAAAACGTTATTGTCTAACCGCGTTCTTAAAACTTAACTTACATGTCTCGACTTCGCATGTAATTTCAAGAGAATATCCCAACGTTTTCATCAAGAGAAAATGGACTCTATTATAGATTGCACAAAGAATTCATAAGCCGGACACGTCGTGGAACATCTTGCGTACATTACGCTGTTAGTCACGCGATGGTAATCGATGGGATAAGTTTCCGAAGTTCTAATGCCTAATTTCTTCACTTCCAGATAAGTTACGGATAATCTTATCTAGGAGATATCTCCATTGTATTCTGGGAGATATCTCTTGGATAAAGTTATCTAGAGGTGAAGAAATTGGGCATAAGTCGTATTTCTAATAACTCGGAATAAATACAAGTGATGGTGGATACGATTCGTGTGAAAAACGTCTCGATTAATCGAACGAAATTATCGAGTACGCAAGAAAAGTTAATTAAAATATCGCGGGGCAAGAGTAAATGCGTCTGGAATGCCACGATAGAATCTATTACGCGAGAGTAACCGAAATTAAACTGTACGTTCAACGGAATAAAAATCAAGAGTGTGTTTTCATATAATCTCTCTCTCCTTCAACGTAACTTAATTAATCGTTTTGTTACACAGAAAAGTGATAAAATTTCACGACTATAAAACAATGAAAAACGCTTGAACTACAATATGGCGAAAATAAATAAATCTTTGTACGTGTATATGTGTGTGTGTTGTGTTACTACGCAATTTTGCGCGGGGAAGATATTTCGAGTTTGATACTCCTGAGCGTCGTTATTAAAATTTAAAAAAAAAGGATCTTATATATATATATATATATATTCGCGAACGAGATAAATTTGATATTTCCTAAACGTCGAATATTAGGATAAAATCGTCCAGGTTTGTGACTACGTATAATATTTGGGGTAACAACCAACGCGAAAACGTATTTCACGCACGAGAAAAGTAATACCGTTCCGACATTCCTGAAAGCGTCGAGTTAGATTATAATAAAGTAAAAAAATAAAAATTAAAGTCATTTATATCCGCGGCTTGTACGTCAGAGTGACGTGAAACGTTTTCACGTCCATCTCCGTGCAATCCTGCGGCCCAATGACACCATCGCCACTGGTGCGCGATGGCACACGCGCCTCCTTGCTTGCGTGTTCCTCGAAGATATCGTTGTGGCTGCTGTCCATCATCTTCTCGGTCGTTGGCTGCTGCTGATCCGCCGCCATCACGCGCATCTTCACGTTTTTGATCGTCTCCAGGGAACGCGACTTGGACGCTTCCGTCACCATCGCCGCCGCCGCCGCTGTAGCCGAGCGGCCTGCTCCTTTAGTGCCGTTCTCTTTGTTGCGACGAGACGAGTTGCGATGCCAACGTTGCTTCTCCCTGGAGGAAGTTCTCCGAAGACTTGGCCGCTTCACCGATTCCGCACTGGCGCTCAAACCCGTAGCTGTATTCAAAAAGACTTCATTGAACAAAGACTCAAGAACAAAGGCTGCTTTCCTTTTAAGAGACAATCGACACAAATTTTGTTATATCCTTCTTGACATTCAATAAATAACAAAGAAATTATGTTGACAGTGTTTCCTAAAAGAAAAGCAGCCAGAAACAGGTGTTTGATGATATCCGAAAATTTAAGAAACCAGAAAAGAAAAAGATTGATGCAAGCCAAAATATAAAAAACTTTAACTTATGTAGATAAATATATAAACGTAAAAATAATTAAATCATGACGGTATTACTAAAACTTATATATTAAAAATAATCTGATTAACGATAATAAAATATGAGATTAAAAAGCAAAAATATCAAACTTGTATCAATCTTCTTCTTTTTGGCTATCAAAGGAGGCTCTCAAATCATGTGGTTGTTTACCTATATTGCCAGAGGAAGACCGATTGGAACCTCGTAAAATGTGTATCGCCGAGAGATCACTGTCCGAGGCAACTACAGGCGTGAGAAACCATTCAGATCTAGTTCGCATTCGTGCGGCTTGCCTCTCGTGAACCTAAGGTGGCAACGATGACATTTATTAGTTTAATTGTCTGTTTGTCTTCATTGAGACACGATCGTCTTACCTGCGGCAGGTAGCTGAGACTCTTGGTGCTCTCGGCGTAGCGATTCACTGCGCGAAGCTCTTCCAGCGTCATACCCATTGTCCCATGCTTAGAATGTTGACTGCCGTTACTGGATGAACGACTGGGTGCCTGTAATAATATAATCTACTTTCTATGCTACTTCAAATATTTTTTGTATTACGATTGCGACGTAATACGAGATTATGATCGCGATTTCTTATCGATAGATGGGTCTATACCTGGAACAAGCCATTTTCCTCTAAGCTCACCGAGAGACGCGTGTAACTCTCGAGTAAAGTGTTCTCTGGAATCATGCCTAATGATGACGCGAGATTCACGGTCTCTGGCACGTGAATCAACGCCGGAGTTGACTGCGATTCCTCTTGGTGCGACATACCTATGGTGTGAATTAAAGATTATTACAATATTGTATAGAGATACTTAGAATCTTTTTGTTATTTAATATTGGATTAGGTTAACAGGAGTAAAAATATATTCCCCTTTTCTCATGCTATATAAAATCTTGACCAAAAATATTAGGCACTTTAATAACCATTGTTTAAAATTTTAACTCAAAAATTAATTTATGGCATTTACTGTAAATTATCTTTTGTTTCAAGAATCCTTTAAACTTGTGTATAATGCTAACAATCAATAGGTGACAATGTAAGTAAAAGAATTCCTAATGAATAAGAAAAATATTAGTGCCTAATATTTTTGACCAGAGCTGTACAGTCGTTTGAAATTGTTATTGAGTTAAATTATTAATTACTTTCTCCCTAAAAGAGAGATAAAAGAAAAATCTTTTTTATCGAATACGAGATGCGTTGTAGAAAAAATGATGACATAAGAAAAAAAAACATGATTCTTGTTTCTGATGTCACGATACGATGATTACAGCTAATATGATTACAGCAATAGTCGAGAATCTAAATGCTCAATTCAATGAGATCAGATTCACTTACATTCTAAATTCAACTTCAATCCCCATTTTTCGCACTCGTATTGCAACCACGATCTTTCAGCCTCCAGCGACAGCTGTCCTAAAATTCATATACTCAAGTCGTACACGCGCGATTAAATCGTCGCAAATAAAAATGCGCGCGCATACTTACTCGATACGAGAGTGTCCGGCGGATATCGGAAACTAAAGATCCAATCT